AATATAGCTTCAGCAGCTGAAACAGGATGGGATTTCAGTACTCGTTGGTTTGCCCAAAGTGGTCCAGAAATGCATGACATGAAATCAATTCGTACTTGGTCTATTGTACCCGTTGATTTAAATGCTTTCATTTGTATCAATGCCAGAATTATGGCTTCGTTTTATGAAATTATTGGTATGTTTTTTTTTTTTTTTTTTTTTTTTTTTTTTCCTTTTTATACAATCTTCTTCTTACATTGACTATGCTTTGTCAATAAACGATTTGATTTGAGATAATAAGCCATGTCAAAACCATATCACTATGATTTTTTTAAATATTCATCTTTTATAATCCATTTCAGTTACTTGTTCCTTCTTATAATACTTTTTAGAGAAAAATTTTTCGTTATTATTCTCTTCCAATATTTTATAGTATGTACAGCAAATCGAAATGAGCATGCATTATCAGTATGAATTTGACTTTCAGGTAATTTCCCGAAAGTATTACTATATCAGTCGCGCTATGAAATGGCAAAATTGGTGATGAAAATTCTTCACTGGAATGAAACCGATGGGATTTGGTATGATTACGATCTGGAAAAAAAGGTTTTTTTTAAAAAAAATAGAGATAATATAAGTTTCAAGTTTAAATAGAGTCACTTTTTGGCATGAAGTTTTTTTTTTTTTTTTTGAATGAAATATGTGTAGTGAGTATTAAGTGATATTTCTTATATTTTATTCATATTCTTTTTGACTGTGAGAAATTTACATTGAGCAAATTATGCATTTTAAATACAAAATTTTAGCTTCACTCCAACACATATTATATTTCGAATGCTCTACCCTTGTATGCAAAATGTTACAATGATGAGGACGAAATCATTCCACACAGAGCTTACGAGTACTTGAAGGTATGTTTTCTGGGTTTCTGAGTTTTATAATAATAATATTTAAAATCCTGATAAATTATAATCTGTTCATTTAAATTCCATCTTATCTTTATTTTGCATTATATTCTTTTAGCATCATTCCTACTTATATTTGAAAACAGTAGTATAGAGATACTTCATGCCTATAAACACTTCACGATTTTTTTTTTTTTAATTCTGATTTTAAAAAGCATGCAGAGAGAAGGAGTGTTGAATTTCACCAAAGGTTTGCCGACTTCTTTGGCCATGAAAAGTGAACAGCAATGGGATAAGGAAAATGCGTGGCCGCCAATGGTACATATGGTCATTGAAGGCTTTCGTACTACGGGTGATCCTGTACTAATGAAGGTCTGTGTTATAGTTTTCAGTGTTAATCATTCTTTTAAAGTGTTTTCCGAAAATATATTTACTCTTATTAGTTTATTTGGCATTTGATATTTTCTACTCTGCATTTCATTTTGATGAATTGGAATATTTTATAGGCAGCTGAAGCTATGGCAACACAATGGTTAAGTGTAACATATAAATCTTTTATTCGTACTCATTCAATGTTCGAAAAGTATAATGTTTCGGCAATTTCTGAAGAATGTAGTGCTGGTTCCGGTGGAGAATACGAAGTGCAAGTTCGTTAAACTCTAAATTTAAAAATTGATTTCTATTTTAACCTGAATCAGAGTACAAGACTTTCCTTCAGTGTGAAGAAAAGTTCATGTATTTTTCACTTCTAACTTTTAAGTTCCCTACATATAAACCCAGAATATTCATTTGACCAATACTCAAAAATAACTCAAAATAAAAGAAAAAAAAGAATACTCAGAACAAAAAATTACTCAAACTCAAAAAATTGACCATTACTTAATATTTTAACCGTATATTTTCGAATTCCTGGGCGTTTAATCTGTCAACAATGATGCTCTCAATTGCAAGCTCTGATTGTACAAATACTAAACAAATAGAAAGTTTTAAATAAATCTTTGCAGACTGGATTTGGTTGGACAAATGGTGTTATACTAGATTTGTTGGACAAGTATGGGCAAATGATGACTTCAGCAGCGCCTGTCCGGACACATTGCATGTTTTTCGTTACTGTTTTCTTTACTTTGTTAGTATTTTCAACTAATTAAAAGTTTTGTTCCAGCTCCTTTTAAAATTCCAAAAACTGGTAGTCTATATTGAAATATTATATTTCTTTGATAATTATGCTAATTTGTATTTAAACAAACCTTTGAATGTGTGTTTGCTTTCTATCATGTATATTCTCAATAAGTTTCTCCGTTTTTTTTTATCCAGATGTCATGCTTGTCATACCAGACCCTCCAGTTTAACACTTGTTTTTATCTTCTTTCTCCTTGTGACTTATCGTTTTCAACAATACTTTTGCATGTTTTATTTTTGTAGTAAATTCACAGATAAATGATTCTGAAATTTCAATTCATGTGATTTTTAATTTTAATATGTGTAATTAATAGTGATTTTTTAGACAGTGTTAGTTGTGACAATTTTTTGTGAATACGATGCATTGGTGCCTTTAAATAATCAGTTCATTTAGTTTATTTATTTTATCATTTTTCAGTGTAAATAGATTGTAGAGTATTTTTTCTTGTGGTATTAATCATATTGCCTATCTCATTTAAATGATATAGTTTTATTTAATATAGTTACAATAAATCGCATTGGTTGTGTCAAGAAATTTGCCGAACTGTTTGACGAATTAAACTGATAGCACTTTCTTTGTTAGATAAGAATGTTAAAATGTCTAGCTTTCTCCTTCATATTTTTGTATTTATCAATCACTGATAAATTCAGCATTAGTAGTAAATGGACAAGAAAAACATGTTTTAACTTTTCGTCTGAATTTTACTATGTAAAAATTAAAATCTGATTTTTTATTTTTATTTTTTATTTTTTTTTTTTTTTTGAACCATTAATCACGTTTCTGAGCTAATTTAATCAAAAAAAAAGAAAGTTTCACATACATTTATTAGTATGGGGAAGTTCATCATTACTAATTCGATAATTCAGCAAATCAGTATCTAAACTTATTGCTAAAAATAAAGCAGCTACGACAGGTTGCTAATTTACCGTATATTTGCTGTCTCAATGATCTTTTTAATGACGAAAGTAACTGGGTGCTGTTGAAACTTAATTTTGTTATGCAAACAAACTGCTATGGATTACGGTCAATTTCATTACAAAATTGCTCTTAGCACTTCAAAAAAGAAAACAATTCGTCATTAATTATCATTGTTTGTTTGTTTGTTTGTTTTTTTGTTTTATCAGTTCATCATGACAAATCAACGAAGTGTTGGATAGTAATGTGAAGTGTTTGTTTGTATAGTATATATTGATGAAAACTTATCACTTCACTATCCGATGAAAGAGATCCAAAAAAATATAGCAAATATTCGTTAGAAAGAGAGAAAAATTAAAAACTGTTTCAATTAGTGAATTTATTACCAGAAATATAGTAATTGAGAAATGAATAGAATTTATTTACAAATGGAAAAGTTAAGAAATTAAGCACCAATTCAATTTAATGATAACAAGGAATTTTATCATTAAATTAATTACTTTAAACTAATTTTACATTATATCGATAGTATAATTGATGAAAATTGGAGGAAAATGAACATGATTGATTTTTTTTTTCCAAAGTTTCATTTTCTTCGAATTCAAATTTGAATTTGTTCCAACCGATAGACATATTCGATAGATTAGTTTTTTTTTTTTACCAAAGTTAATTCTCTAAAATCTTTTTTTTTTTCCATAGCAAATAAATAAAACTTTCAATATTTGATGAAACGTTGTATTTCATCATCTTATTTCAAACAATTCAATATAAAGAGCATTGATTTAATATCATAAAAGTATAACTTTGATCCATTTTACCAATTACTAAATTTCCCAGAATTTCTAGTCATTTCTTTTTATACATAGAAATTTCTCGCAATAAAATTGATTAGCTGAATTTTATTGATTTTTTTCAAATACATATTACTTATCTTATCTGGAATTTCTATTAGCCACTATAATTGAATGATATAATTTGGAAAATATCATAGGTCCTTAAATAAACATTTGAGATTTTCAAAATTTAGCCTACTGCATATTCTGAATATTGCTTGACCACTTTTTGGTACCTTTTGGTAGCACAGCGAATATTTATACACGAATAACTATAAACTAAAATACTAAATAAGTATGTAATGTATTTTTTTTCATTTATATTTGGAAAGAAATAAAATAAAATTCGAAGACATATTTTGAAAATTTGATAATTTTATTTTTAGTTTATTTTTAAACTTTTAGTATGATTTATTAACTGTTAATCGATTCTGTCTTTTTCTCTTTTTTTTTTGTATGAACAATTTCAGTATGATAAAAATGCTTATGCAATTGTTGTATGAGTTATTGGAATATATGTATTGATTATAAGTTTGATGATTGGAAATAAAGATGAGAGTAGGATAAATGAATGATTCATTAGATTAGACACTTGTGACAATCATTTTTATTCATTTTATGTGACGAATGATCTAAGATGAATGAGAAATATTTGTAACATAAATTATTTTATTATTTAGATATTTTTATTATAAGTTATGCTGAGGTTTACGATAGTTAATAGTTTTATATTTTATTCATTTTTTTCTTTTTATTTTTTTTTTTTTGGTATCTGATTATTATCCTTGAATATTTCACGTAAGTTTTTCTGAAAAAAAAAAAGAAAGTATACTATTTTTAACTTTACTATAATTATTTTGTTGATGATATAACTGCTAAAGTAATGAAAATTATCTTTTTCGGGTTAGTTTCCAGAATTTTTAGTTTTAGTTTAGAAGTAATTAAAGAAATTGATAATGTTTGTTTGAGAATATTTCAAGTGTTAGAAGATTATTTATGTAATATTATTTCTGTATGCTTTTTTTTTTTTTTTTTTTTTTTGTATAAAACTCATTTTGTTTAAAATTTGTATTCACGCATAATTTTACAATGAAATATTTCAAAATTAAAGAAATTATTGAATTATTTGTTTAATTATCTATCATTCTGTAAGAGATGGACGATCTTTTCCAGTACCGACATCTATGTCTATGTCAACGTCACAAAGGTCGCATGTGTTCTGACAAAATATGGCACCTGTTTCGAAAGCAGTTTCAGGTGCACATCTCTTTTCCAGTTTAATTTACAGTTCACATCTCCTTCCTCTTCCTCATCTACGCATTCTAAAAAAGATTCATAAAATTATATTTTTGTATTAAAATATAAAAGTTTTAGATATGTGGAGCATTAAATGAGGAATAATTGGTTTAGAAGTCTATACAAATCCGTATAGTCTGAAGTAGATTTGAATTGTTGCTGAACTAAAAATTAAAAAATGAAAAGCTGTCAAATAATGAGCAAATTTAAATATTTCAGTGTTGTGCAATGACCAATTTCCTTTGAAGTATTTTTCAACGAATTATTTTTATGAAATAATAAACAAATAGCAAAAGTATTTCGAACTATTCTGGTAATCATTCTAATTCTATTCCATCAACTTTTGTCAGCTAATAATGACATAAACGATTGGTACTTCTGCGACAAATGGCAATCTCATTTCACAATACAATGTAGAAGCATTCTTAAAATTAATGAAATGAGCAAAGTAATAATAAATTAGCATCTTTTATTAAAAAAAAAAAAACACAAATGTGCTTTATTTCACTACCATTTTTAATGTAAATTAGTAGGTGAAATTGTTTTCATACTGTAAAAACCTTTTACCGTAATCAGAAAAAGCTTCTCCTTTGCCAACGATGAGAACAATGCATGCTAGAACGACTGTAAACGTTGAAAACATTGTTGAAAGTAAGTTGTAATTGAAACTGAAAGTGATATATTAAGATATAACGTGCTAATGAATGAAAAAATTGATCAAAATCTAAATTAGCAGCTTTTACGGGTTACTATCAACTTGTACCGTATGCAAAATGGGAACTGTTGGGATTACGGTAGGCGGCACTCTTCCCAAAATGATAATCGCGGTAAATTAGATAGACTTCTTGGATAGAATTTCGTTTGAAATGATATGTTGTGCTCAAATTTTGAAACTTTTAAATGATTGCGAGAAAGACAGAAGTGAAACTAACCTTCTATTATAGTAAACTATTTTTTAGTTTATACAGCCATTTCTAGAAATTTCATTTAGAATAGATAAAGTATTTCGGTTTACACATCCGCTCTTAAAAATTTCATTTAGAATAAAGAAGTTTTTTTTCTCCTCATTAAATTCCATATAGAATTTATGTGAAACAATTAACTACATAGCATTTTCATCTTACATCTTTAAATTAAACGTTATGAATTAATCATATTTATACTGAAAATGGAAAAATGGAATTGTTTATTGTTTGGTACATTTAAAATATGATAGAAATAAAATAATCAAAACATATGAAAGTTTTATCACAAAAAATTGCATTTAATCATTGCAATCAGTAGTGTATTGATAAAATGCATCAGTGCATCTGCGATAAAATTGTTGCACTGATAATCTCTGAAATTAAACTTTCGCAAACTGAATAATCTTTTAGGAATTGATGAAAAATATTGCTATCCTAAAATTGTTTTTTTTTTTTTTTTCTTCAGAAAATAACAAAAAGATAAGAAATAATCTATCTGCTTATCACTTTAATCGCAAATGATAATTCTTCTAGAATATTATTTGAATATTACATAACATCTTTGCTTCAATAAAAATTTAGTATTTCTCATTATTTCATAAATATGATATTTTTATTTTAAACTTAATGATTCTCTATATTTCTTGATTGAACCTTTCCATATAGTAATGTAAGGTAATGTCACAAACTCTAACAGCATTAGATAATTTATTTCTTGACTATTTCTGTTTTGAATATGACATTAGATAATTTTAATTCTAAATATCATTGATATAATTTGAAGATGCACCACTACAATTATTCTAGAATTGTCTTCACTGAATGTTGATAGTAGTAATTGCGATCAATTTATTGCTATCTAAGGAATTTTTTTGTGGATTAGTTAATTTGTTGATTATATAATCTTGAATTAGAACCTTGAATCGTAATCTTCTCGAATCATATTCGTGAATTTGAATGTAATCTCGAATCATAATCTTGAATTTGAATATAATCTCGAATCATTATCTTGAATTTGAATGTAATCTTGAATCGTAATTTTCCCGAATCATAGTCCTGAATTTGAACTAGTGCTGCAATGGTTGAAATTATAATCATTGTTAAACATTTTTAAAATTATTTTTTCCCTTCCTTAATTTAATAATTTTGAAATTCTTTACTTCTTTATAAGTATACATTCTCTTTTTTTTTCTTATCCAACATATCAATATATCATTTAAGTCATACTAACGATTCTTTTTCTAACTTCAATATTATTAACATAATTCTTCTCTTGGTAAGCGTTTATTGATTGATGTCTTCCTGAATTTGTTTACACTTAAAATTTCGCTGAAATAATTAAAAAATGCAAAAATAGTTTGATTCTTTGAATATAATTTTATAATATGATAAAATTACTTTGATTATTTTGGCACTTACTTTATGCAATTTTGGGTAACTTTTAGTTATTGCATAATTTTTATTAACTTTCCTTCTTCCATACTTCATTTCAATTATTTTTACTTCTTTATTAAAATACATGACATTCGTTATAACTTTATTTTATCTTTATTATCAGAAAAATTCGACATTATCAATCAATATTCTGATCTTCTCTTATCTTCTTACATTTTTCACTTTATTTTTGAAATATTTCCCTGATTGTAAAATAATATGAGATCACAATAGATTGCAATATTTTTGATACACTCATCTATTATTTAACTATTATTAAATTTAAATGATAGTAATAATATCAGCAAATATCGGATTATTTCCAGTATCTACCAATGAATAGAGTTATGTGCCATTTGAGGATGATCACTTCCGGAAATGCATTTCTCATCTTGCAAACCGGTTTATTTCAATTTAATCCTAAAATTTCATATTTCTCATATAGATATTATAATATTTTAAGTTAGAATCATTAAAATTTTTAATAAGCCATGCTTTAAAAAGTATAGAGATAAACAAAGATTAAGTAGAAGCGATCGTCGAGAAATAACCTTATTTAAATTTTTGCAAAAAAAAAAAAATAAATAAATAAATAAATCTAAAAGTTGACCGTAAATTCTGTTAACTCACCAAAATAGGTCAACTTTTGCGCAAGCCTTATTTGGGCCCAAAATTAAATCGTTCCTTTTCATGAATTTTCAAGTAATTAAAATAAAAATTAAATATATACACAAACATCTATATAATGAATATTAGGTTGATTATGAAAAAAAAATATATATATTTGTAAATTTTCAAAAATTTTAAATTTCTCTTAAAACTTTGAATACTTAATTGAAACAATAAACAGTTTCATTCTATTTTTAAATTTTTTTTTTTTTTTTTTGAAAACATAGAATTTAAATAGAAGCAAAGAAGAAATATTCATTCATTGATGAGAAATAATAATTCAATGATGCGATTACGATTAAATTATAATTGTAATAGTTATTGTTCATTGTCCACAATTAGTATTATTGTCAACAGCTCTAAACAGAACTCTTTGTAATCGTTGCAATGTGCGCATTTGCGCATATTGTCCATTAGCCTAATTACGATGATGAAAAAATTTAAACATTTCGTTTCAGTTTAAAAGCAATGATCAATGCAAATTTAAATTGAACAAAATTTTATCGCAGCTTTTTTTTTTTTTTTTTTATTCAAAAATTTTAAAAAAGAGAAATAGAAAGAAAAGAAATGTGAAAAAAAAAAAAACAAAGTTTAAATGTATAAAAAAATCGTAAAGAATCGATATTTGATCGTATTTACTTACTATTATTATCATTTCAAATTCAGAAAAAACGGAAAAAGCAAAAAAAAAAAAAAAAGAAAAAGAAAGTATAAAAAGGAAAGAAAAAAACTATTTTGTATACATTTTAAATTTAAATTTAAACAAAGAAAAAAAATTATTTTGAAGAATAAATAGTAAATTACATTGAAATAATTAACTGCCATAGAATTAAACAGCCATGTTTGTTAACAATAATGCTAAAAATTTTGTCTTAAAAATAAAAAAAAAAAAAATTATTATTGTAGCATTAGTAAATTATTTTTGAAACTTAATGTGAAATGAAATGAAAATGAAAACGCTAAAATAAATTGTGAAATGATTCTTAAACTAAATTATTTCATTTTACTGACAGAAAAGTAAATAAATCTATCATTGAAAATTTAAAAAAAAAATTAGTAACTTTTTGAAATTAAAATTAGTTTTAAGTGATACAGATTTTTAATATACAAAGTATTTATTATATCAGTAACTAAAAAAATTCAATAATTTCAGGAAAATGCCAACTATCAGATTTGAAAATGTGACGTAGAGGAAATAAAATTGTTTTCAAAAGTGGTTTTTTATTAAAAGTAAAAATATTTTTCAAAATTTTAAGTGCAATTTTAAATGAGCTTGGTATCTTAAACGAAATAATGTTGTAATTAATTCAAACAAAAAAAAAAAGAGGAAAAGAAAATTATACAATAAAGAATTCTACGAATAAAAAAAAAAAAAACTAATGTACAACAGAATTTCTTTTTTTTATTAAATTAAATCGAATCAAATTTGATATGATTGTTCAATGGAAAAATGAATTTAAAAAATGAACATTAGTTAAAAATTAAAATTTCATTCTAATATAAATAGCTAGAATGATAATTTTAATTGGAAATAATAATATTTCAAATTTAAAAAAACATTCATCAATTTTTAAGTTTGATTTTATTTTTAGCAAAAATATAATTTTCATTGTGAAATATTTATTTTGTAATGTATTATTAACTGACCATTAGCACTTTTCCAATAAATTTTATTTTTAAGCATTTGCTTTCAGGTAAATATGCCTCGAATGACCCATTTTATTATTTATTGATGTATTTTGTGGGATTTGAATTTATGCGTTTCCATCCAGATTACATTGTCATCTGTTGTCACCAGCTAACAACCGTTGTTGATTCATCGTTTTACCTACCACAAATATGAAATTTGCCTCAATTTTCTCTCTCATTTCCATAGTAATTTTCCATGGTAAAATTTTTTCATCTAAATATTCTCAAATATATATGTATTTAAAATTAAAATAAATATTTAAAATTATTTTCAATTCTCAAAAAACTTGTTCAGAAATTTAAAATTTAAATTTATTCTTATTTTTTTCAAAAAAAAAAAAAAAACAGAATTGTGAGTTTTTTTTTTAAATAATAAAAAAAAGTTGAAAAATCATTCATATTTATTTAAAGTTTAATAAATTGTCATTTTCTATAGAGTAATATCTCCTTCAAAAAAAAAAAAAAAAAAAATGAAGAAAAAAACTTAAAAACTAATTTTTAAGTTTGAAATATTTCTTCACTAATTTAACATATTTTTTTTTAAAGTAGTAATATCAATTAACGAAACTGAAATTCAAATATCAAATCTATCGTGTAATTTCGATGATGGTACTTTATGCAAATGGCGATCTGATTCTGATCTATGGCTTATTGGTGTTGATATACCAATTAATTCATTTCAATTTATTCCACATTCCTCAAATACAAGTTAGAATAATTTTTTCAATTCTTTAAATATTTTATTTTAATTTTTTCAATTCAAATTTGATATTAATTTTTATAATGTAAAAATATGAGTTATTATTTTGATTTTAGATGGTCTTTATGCATATGCAAAAGGTGGTAGAGCAGTACTAGCTGAAGGACATTTGATTAGTACTGAAGTGGAAGAGTATGATGAACGTCAGGCAACCTTATCATTTACTTATTGGAAAAGTAATAATATATCCAAACTTGACGTAAGTTATCACTTTTTACTTATTCAATTACTTGATGTAAGTTATTATTCTTTACTTATTCAATTACTTGATGTAAGTTATTATTCTTTACTTATTCAATTACCTGATGTAAGTTATTATTCTTTACTTATTCAATTACCTGATGTAAGTTATCACTTTTTACTTATTCAATTACTTGATGTAAGTTATCACTTTTTACTTATTCAATTACTTGATGTAAGTTATCACTTTTTACTTATTCAATTACTTGATGTAAGTTATCATTCTTTACTTGTTCAATGATATAATTATTCATTTTTAAAATCTTTTTCATAAGTTATTGCAACATTTCTTTCAATTTTTTCATTAATTTATTTTCTTCAACCATATTACAGTATTACTTTTATTACTTTAGTAATACTATTAATAACCAAATTTGAAAATTTTAATTTTCATAAAAAGATAAAAAATATTATTTGCAATATATTTAAGGTATGTATTGCACAACAAAATGCTTTTATCTGTACCTATACGGCTCCTGATCTAATCCATAAAGAATTGCGATGGATAAAAGAAAAAATTATTCTTTCCAATAATTTGTCGACGCCATTTAAGGTTGAATGATTTTATGAAAGTTATGAATTTAATAAAATTTAAACTGAAATGAATAATAACGAATTTGAAAAAAAAAATAAATTAATAAAATTATAATAAAAGTTTAAATTAAAAGGTTAAAAATTAATTAATTTAAAAGTTAGATCAATGGAAATAAAAATAATTGGTATTAATTAGGCGGTAAAATCATTTTTAGATTATATTTCGAGCGCGAAATATTTTTACATCGGCAGATATTGTAGCTATAGATGAAATCGAATACAATAATAATTCTCCAAAAGTACTTGCATCTTTGGTTTGTTTTCATACAAATTACTTTTTTCTTCTTTTTAAAATATTCTTATCAATAATAGTTAATATTCTTATCAATAATCAATAACAGTTAATCTTTTTGAAATATTTCTTATCAATAGTTAATTGTCACATTTCAGTGATGCAATAGCTTTTGGTATTTTTTACATTATCAGAAATTTTCTGATAAGCACAAATTATATTTTAGCTTATTTTGTTAGCAAAAAATTAAATCGAATACTAAATTACATTCTTGCTAGAATTATTATATAACCGGAATAATTTGAATTAAAATAATTAATTAGCATAAATATTAAAACGAAAAGATTGAATCAACTTTATGTTTATCGATCGCCATCATAGTATGCATTGATCAGGCGGAAAAATTTTTTCAAATTATATTTTATGCAATCAAATTTTGGCATTCTTCCTTTGCTTACTTAAAAGATAATAAATATTTTCAAAGTAATACTTAGTAACTAAAATTTTTAAACTATCTTTTTGATATTATACCAAATGAATAATATTTTTTTTTTTTTTTTGTTGCAGATTTCGAGAAATGTTGTATTAGAAAAGATTTCATCCAATAAACAAGCAATTTCTAATTCATGCCTTCCTATTCAATGCACATTCATTAATTCATCCTGTGCATGGTATTTTACTAAAAATTAAATAGGAAAAAAAAATGAAATGAAAAACTGGAAATCAATCATTTAGTTGTATTTAAGTTATTCTTCGTTTTTTTTTTTTTTTTTTTTTTTTTTTTTTTTTTAGGATTTTAAATGATTCTTAGGTTATATTTTGTATAGCTTAATTTTTCATACTAATTCTACTAATTAAAATAAAAAATCCACTACATCTTAAAATTTAAAATTCTCTTAAAATTTCACTAACTTCTCATCTTAGTAAATATCCAAAAAGTTTTTATATCATATCAGGACATTGGGATATCCATGGCATCGATTAACAGGTAATATAGCCATAGATGGTGAAGGTGAAGGCCTAGTGAAAAGTGATTTCTTCATGGTTCCTCCTGAAGCATTCGTCGAAATGGATGTTTGGATGAGGTGAAATTACTGATTATCAGTGATAGTGAAGTGTTTAACTAGCTGATAATCGTTGATAATGTCACTGATTACTGATAAAAGATAGATAGCTGTTTTATTTTTAACAAGAACCAATAATTTTATTTCAGTGAAAATGCTTTATTGACTATTTTGGAAAATATGGAAAATGATTTGATGATTTGGAATCGAAAAGGATTGTACAATGATGATGGATGGTATCGTTTACGAATTCCAATGAAAACAAGCAAACAACCAGTTCAATTGTTAATAAAAGGAACAGTACCAACTAATAATTTCATAACTATTTCTAATATTAAACTTGTAAACAATGATGGGAATGAAATTAGTTGTGGTAAGTTACTGATTTTAATCTTTTTTTTTTTTTTTTTTTTTTTTAAAAATAAAATTTTTAATATCTTTTCATTTGCTATTGTTGATAGTAAAACTTCTTGCAGATGTAAGCACTTTAAATTTCATCAAATCACAATTTAATAATACAGAAAGGCTAACTGCATTTCAACAACTGCACACAAATCAGGTTATTTGTTATAAAGCATTATTTATGATGTGTGACAGGAAATTTAAATTTTAAGTTTAAATTCGATTTTTTTTTTTCTTAAAAAGCTAAACGAATGACACATGAATTTAAAATACATATAGCAAATAAAATAAGAGCTAATTCAGGCACTATAAAAAAAAATTATTTACAGATAAAACCTACAACAATAATTCGGAAAGACAGAGAAAATGAATCCATTCGTTCACTCATCAATAACATCATTCCGGCACAGAATTTCATTCGCAGAACATCTTTTACTGCACCAATGATAAATTCAAATTATACTTTAGCATCTAATTCGAAATTCAAAGAAATCCGGAAATTACAATTGACAAACAATAAAAATGGAGAATTTTTAAAGGATCAATTAGGGCTTTCATCTAAAATCATAAATGATCCTATCAAGCAACAAGGTCAACAACAACAACATAAGTTGAACCTTACCTCTCCACTATTACCATTTCGAGAGCATGATGGTCTTACTCCGGAATTTGCTACCTTTACTCAACCATTACCAGAAAAGTTTTATGCAGAAAGTGATTTCTCACTAGGTTAATTTTTGCATCATTTCAAGAAAAAAAGTTAGCTCGAAATTTTCATCCTAAATAAGACTCTTTGATATGTATAAGTTCAAAATCAAACCTGAATAAGCATGCAATTATTTATTGCTGAAAAGAAAATTACGGAACTAATACTATGTTTCCTAAAAATGAAATATACAATTTAGGACCAATTATAAATCAATATAGGAGAACTAATGCTTCGGCAAAACATAGCATTATGAAAGAATTAAACACATTGCTATCACAAACTGATGGACAATCCGTTCCGGGAATGCAACTCCGGCAACTTGCACAACGTTTCGGACTTACAGGAATGAATGCTGAACAGGTTTAATTATCGTTAATATTAGTGTCTTCAATACAAGATTTACCAGATGATAGCAGATTACCATACCGGAAATAGATGTATACATGATTTCTGAAGAATTCTTATAAACTGTAAAATGATTTCTTTTTCGTCGATTAAGTGTGTTTCATTATCATTTGTTACACTTTTTTACACAAAAATTTCACTTCCAATCTTTTTTTTTTTTTTTTTTTTTTCAGAGTTTGGAATTGGTGAAGAATTTTATGAACTTAAAAGGATTACAGTCTAAAATAGCAGATGGTGATGATCAAGAACAAAATAAAAAACCTGAACCAATAAGGCCTATTAATGCACCACCTCATTTTATATCAGTAAAAATTTCCACTATGTAAAATTATACAAAATTTATTATAATCTAATTATCATGAATTAAAGCTTTCCAAGTCATATAGATCTACTTGAATTGAAACAAATGTCACTTTCATTACCACTAATAATAATTTTAACTATTATTTCAGGGTACACAATTTCTCCCTCACAATGGTCAGTTGAATTCTCTCCTCTCTTTGCTACCATATGAATTGCGGAAAAATTTTTTGGGTGAATCGAAAAATTTATTTGGTTGAAATTTAAGTGATGAAACTATGAAACGTTTAGATGTCGTATTGTTCACTTGCATTTAAACATTGACAAACAATTGTCATCCAAAATCACAATGATTTTATTATTCATAATTCAAGTATTGCTAACGCAACTATTTTGTTACATTTTTAGTTTATAAATAAATGAAATAATGCATTTGTCGCCTTTAGTTGACATTTTATTAATTGCAATAATTATTAAACTCACTACTTTGTAATTTATCAAGCAAGCTGTATTCTTTTCGTCTGAATTGATTACTCTCTAACAATTAGTAAACAAAAATGAAAAAAAGAAAAAATAATGCAGCTAAAGATTACTTCATCTATCATACTACCAAGTTACTAGTCGTTACACACTTTAATTAAGCTTATTGACACTAACCTTTGTAGCTTTTTTTTCCAACTTTTAACTAATCATTCTTCATTTAACCCTGCAAAAACAAAAAGAAAAAAAAAAGATTAAGCAAAAAAAAAAAAAAAAAAAAAAAGAGAAAAGAATTAATCCATTTGAGAATTCAGTGATGTATTATTTTAAATCAACGATGTAAATAATACTTTTGTCGTCATTTACAGCAGCAGCTCTATCTATTGTCAATTATTTATTGCAAAATGTCAAAGTTATTAGAAATTTCAATAGAATATGATGCTTAAATGCTTAGAAAAAGATTGATGAACATCATCAATTTGCGTTATTTGCGTCATTTGATTAAAGCTTTAATCCTTTTTTTTTTCCAATTGCATTATTCTATTCAAATCATTTATAATCTATCTCATTACAATCAAAAGATTCAAAAAAGAAGGAGGACTAAAGTTTCATTTATCACATATTGAAAGAAATGATAATAGAAAGAGTAGAGAAATCAGATAACAAAATTTAATGATATTTAGAAAAAAAACAAAAAAAAAAAAAAAAAAAGGTTTGACACATCATTATCTCTTTCATCGTTTTATAACAAAGCATTGAATGTGTACATTTCTTTTTTTTCTCTCTCCCTCTCTCTCTCTCTCTCTCCTTATTTTCATGACGTCATAAAAAGAGTAGAAAATACTTTCAGTCCATAATAAGTGTCACCTGCAACAATTAAAAATATGTTTCTTATCCTACGGTACATCTAATTTTTTTTTCTTGCTTAATGAATTATTAATTTTTATCCTTTTCTATCTTTTTATTGAACATTCATTTCTTCATTGAATAAAATAAACACTTTGTCATTTAATTAAAAACTTTTATTAAATATACATCAAAAAGTTTTATTAAAAAAAAAAAAAAAAAAAATATTATTTAAAAAAATGTCATTTCTTCATATAAAGAATTAACTATTTTACATATATTTTTATTTTCAACGTTCTTCACCACAGAAAAAAAGGGATATTAATGACTTTAAATAACCAATAGTTTTATTTCATATAATTTAACAATCGTTTAATTCATGTAATAGATTTTTTCAAACTAACTTTCAAGATAATTAATTATTGTCAAAATGAGCGAGCAACTGTTTAAGTGATTGTTTGAAACATATAAAAAAAAAAAAAAAAAACTTACAAGTTATATAAATCAAACAAATTGTAAAATAACTGACGTAATATAACGTACGCCTAACAGACTACCAAACTATCACGTTAAAAGACGTAAACGTATCACTTAACTCTTATAATTCACGTCAATAAGAAGTCACTCTGTGCTGAATTTTACTATGACGAATATTACTATCATTGTTGATGGGACGAACTTTACAAATTGATGTGTTTGTGTGTGACGCGCGGGGGTTTAGTTCCGTTTGTTGGTGGTTTCTTTTTTTTTTTTTTTTTTCAAATTTTTCAAATATTTGAAGAAGCAATGGAATTCTTTACGTAATTATGTGTCAACCATTTTTAGTTGTAAGTATCATTGCTACAATATTACATACATTATTTTTCTATAATTCATAAAATAGTGATAAAATTTTGCCAGATTATAATCATTTTATGAACAGTGGTTTGTAATTTTATTTCTTTACTTAAGAAATTTACTCTATGATTGGAATTTTCTCCTTCTTTAAGATTATTTGTAATAGTGATTAGATAGAGAGATTGACTTAGAGGAAAACTTTACATCTTTGTTTTGCTTTTTAATGGTAAAGGTTCAATTCAACTCTACGAAAAATCTTCTAAATGTTTTACAATTTTGAACTTTTTAAATTTCTTCTTAAGTAGGTGCTTTTAGATATTGCCATGATAAATTAAATGGATTATTATTGGTAAATCTCTTAATATGAAGAAAATTGATTTCAGTGCTAAAAGTAGTGATCTATATTTTTAGGACTTTATCTTTTTTTTTTCTGGATCTCTCATTTCGATTGACGATGGTTTACTATTGTGTCACTGCAATCAGATGTTGAGGTCACCACGATGACGACACAATTAGCTTCTCAGAATGGTGCTGGTGGCCGAGTATCCATGAAAGATTTATGTTGCCTTTTTTGTTGTCCTCCATTGCCTTCTTCAATTGTCTCCAAATTAGCCTTTATGCCGCCCGAACCAAGCTATCGCATTGTAAAGCACGATTCTCAGCTGTGAGTATTATTTGCTTTGAAATTGTCTGATTTAAAATATGTGTCGTTGGTAAAGTGATTTTTCAGTTGATAATTGTGTGCGACAAGTAAACTCAACTTGACGAGATTCGGCTGGACATGTTATTAAAGTTTCTTAGCTGCGCAAGCTATGTACTTTCTTTTAATAACAGCTTTACTTTTAAAAGCTTATTGATAAGATTTTCTCTATAATAATGTTACTTCAGCACTTCACTAGAGTTAATGGATGGACGGGCAGATTGGCCGCATGGCTACGATGAACTCCGTAACATCGATGTCTTCCACACTCGTACACGAAGAAGGTGAGCTTAAACATACTTTTGCTGAAAATTTTGGTCCCTTTGTTATTTTGTTGCAGAAAATGAAGTAAGGAAATATGTGGCTGAAAGGTATATTTAGAACGTTAATTTTTATTAATGTCTTCAAAGTAGTAAATGGATTGTGTAATATATCATTTCAATAAGTTTTAAAGGTTTAATGAAGTAAATTTCAGAAATGATATTGTTTGTATGTATGTCAAGCCATGTGGCGATGCTCGTTTCACCTTATTATTCTCACATGGCAATGCAGTTGACCTCGGACAGATGTGTAGCTTTTATTATGGACTTGGTTTTCGTCTCGGATGCAATGTTTTTAGCTATGATTATTCGGGTGCGTGCTGCTTTGTAAATGCTTTATTAAGAAAATCAAAACTTTAAAACCGAAAAAAATTGTGGTAGAATAGAAAAAATGCCGGAAATGAAATATTTTGAAATCCTTATACCTCAAAATTTTATCGAGCATTAGTCAACATAAAATTGGTCAACTGAAGCGTCAGAAGTTACGAAAAATACTTGGTAGATTTTGTTCTGCGGTGATATCTTTTTCGTTTTTAAAACTATTTTTGAGGGCTATAATTTTGAAGGTTGTAGCGCATATAAATGTTCTGCGAACTTATTTAACTAAGCGATTTCTTCTAAAGTTAATGTTAAGTAATTTCACCTTTAGATGTTTATATCCTTTCCGACTTGCATGTTCTTCATGAATTTGTCAAAAAATTCTATTATGTAGTGTATTTCCAGGATATGGCTGTTCTAGTGGTAAACCATCAGAGAAGAATCTTTACGCTGACATTGCAGCAGCATTATCAGCATTACGTTCAAGATATCAGATGCCTTTGAATCAAATCATTCTTTATGGCCAGTCAATAGGTAGATGTGGTTTTGTTTGATGTTTGATTTGTTATTTTATTTCTTTATTTCGTTTATTTTAAAACATCTAATAATGAAATGTATAGTTTTTAAGCTTTATAAAAAAAGAAAAAACTAAACCTTTCTGTAAACCATTAACCAAAAATAGTTGAACATGTTCACTTTTTATTAACATAAATTAAATGGAGATGCAATTTCTAAAAACTTTACTCTACTTTATTCATTTCAGGGACTGTCCCAAGTGTAGATTTGGCGAGTATCGAAAGCTCTGTAGCAGCACTTATTTTGCATTCTCCACTAATGTCCGGAATGCGTGTGGCATTTCCTGGAACACAACGAACGTGGTGTTGTGATGCATTTCCATCTATCGACAAAGTAGCACGTGTACGTTGTCCAACACTGGTTATCCATGGAACTGACGATGAAGTTAGTTGTTATTGCAGTTTACTTTTTGTCGATTATAAACTCGAATTTATGTTTGTGGTTTCCATTTTCTGTTCATTGTGATTTATGATTGCATTGTATTTTTGATTAATTTATCTGGTTAGATGATTATAGCTGAAATTACTTAGGTGATCGATTTTTCACATGGTGTGTCCATTTACGAACATTGTCCTTCATCAGTTGAACCACTTTGGGTACCTGGTGCAGGACATAACGATGTTGAACTGCATGCAGCTTATCTCGATCGCCTCAGAGCATTCATTGAAAATGAAGCTTGTAGAGGGAAAGAGACCAGTACTACTACAACAGTAACTTCAGCTGTATCTCGGGCTACTTCATGATTAGATTGGTAATATCTGCTGACTTTTTCATAGAAAAATCTTAAAAATCTTAAGGATTTTAAAGTGACTTTTTCATAGCCGCTTTAAAATCCTTAAGATTTTTAAAACTAGAAGATGATGGGTAACTTTATAAAACCAACTAAATATTTGATGAATTGAGTCAGATTTTAAATTACGAAAAGTTATGTTTTATAGGACATTCCACTTTTGTTTGATATTTCCGAGTTAACTATAAAAGTACGCTTTTGAAATTTTCTTTAGCATAAAAAGATATTCATTAGAAATTGTTGTTTGAATATGAGTTATTGTTTCATGCACCTAAAAAGAATTCTGAAAAAATTTTCAATTTTTTCAAACCTTTGTATTATCATAGTATTTAGAGCAGTCCGTTATTTATTGGCATGTTTTTAGAAGAAATCGGATGGAGCTTATCACAGAAA